TGCTTTCGTGTCGAGCTGTATTTTGCATGGGAAGGGGCCTTTCTCTTCCGTGCTCCGAAAGACACGAAGGAAACTGGAGAAACGAATTCCACACACTACTCTAGTAGATATGACTCTTTCATTGAAAGGCTGGTGTTACTATGCATTGAGTGGATGGTGTGAGTGTGAACGTAGAGCTCCAGCAGTGATTGTGACACAGAGAAAGTGATCATTTTGAGCATGGTTAGGTTGATTGCACATTAATGTATACTATAATATTTATCTGCAATATTTATATATAACCTAAATATTGAATAAAATATTATACTATATTCAGTACATTTTATTATATAAATATATAATGTATTCATATTATATATTTACATAATGTTTATATTCAATATATAATTCATTACATAAAGCCAGATTTTTTTTTCTGCTTAATATAATCTCACTCTTTACTTTTGCACTTGACCACACACTTTTTGATCCATTCTCTGTGTGCTTTGAAAATTCATTTGGGAGGGTATGATAATCGAACCAAGTTGGGACACAGGATATAGATTATTTCTTTTCCATAGGCGTAGCTAATTGCGTATCATTCAGATACTTAACGCCAAGCCTAACACATGAGAATATTTGTGTGGTTGGAAATTATGTTTTCTAAGCTCTGCATTAAACAGGAAACACACAGACCCTTTACAGCCTTGTTTGGAACATCTACAAAAGCATCACTTTTAATAACTCAAAGAAAGGTTTCCAAGCTACAGTCTACATCAGATGTACTATAGTACCAGTGGTCCCATAGCTCAGCATACATACATACATCCTATACCTACCTACCTACATGCATACATACAGTGTGAGAGTGTGTGCAGTTTCCAATGTAATGATCTTGCCATGAAGCCCTTCCTCTTTAACTTGAGGACCAGAGAAGATGGATCAGGCCCTGAAATATGGGGAACCCTGGAGTACACAAGATTACTCTGACAGTGTTGGGTTGCTGTGACTTTTCCGGGCTGTATGGCCATGTTCCAGAAGCATTATCTCCTGACGTTTCACCCACATCTTTGGAAGGCATCCTCAGATGTTGTTTGGTCTCTTGGAAACTAGGCGAGTGAGGTTTATATATCTGTAGAAAGTCCATGGTGGGAGAAAGAACTCTTGTCTGTTTGAGGCAAGTGGGAATGTTGCAATTGGCCATCCTGTTGGGAAGGCAAATAATGGCCTTGTAGCTTCAAAGCCTGGATGAGGGGATCCCATCTTGGGAGGTGTTAGTTTTTTCTCCAACCCTTGACATTCCACAGGTATATAAACCTCACTTGCCTAGTTTCCAACAGACCTCACAACCTCTGAGGATGCCTGCCATAGATGTGGGTGAAACGTCAGGAGAGAATGCTTCTGGAGCATGGCCACACAGCCCGGAAAACTCACCGCAAACCAGTGATTCCTGCCACGAAAGCCTTCGACAACACTCTGACAATATTGTTTCTCTTTTGCTTTGAATCAGCCGTATTGTAAAAAACATTGCTTTAACATATTGGTTTTATTTACTGTTTATTGTTTTATTGCTGTTATTAATTTCAGTCCTTGTATGTTGCCGTGCATTCTTTGAGAGCAGACAGGAATGAGAATAATAGTAGTAATATGCATGCCTGTGGGTTTATAATTATTTATCGTAATGATATTAATCAGTCAATATCATCATTCATCATTACTCTTATCGACATAACACTTTCCTATGTTGAGATTTATTTATTTGTTCTTGCCTTTCTTCAAGGTAGTACCCATGCCTCTTCTTCTCCCTGCTCTATCCTCACAACAATCCTATAGCAAGGCAGGGAGGAAGTAATTAACCTAAGGCATCTCAGTGGGGACTAAAGAATTCTACATCCCCCAAGTCCAGAGGCCCATTTACACAACACAGTTTGAGTGCTATGATTCACATATTCAGCCAGTAGAATCTTGTGATTTGCAATTTAGGGAGGAATGTTCACAGTTCTCAGCCAGCACAGTAAGTGGGATGACCACAAACTACAGACCCCAGTTTCCGTCAGATGAATTTATGTCAGGTAAAGTAAAGGAGCCCCTGGTGGTGCAGTGGGTTAAACCGCTGAGCTGTTGAATTTGCTGACCAAAAGGTCATCAGTTCAAATCCATGGACCAGAGTGAGCTCCCACTATTAGCTTCAGCTTTTGCCAACCTAGCAGCTCGAAAACATGCAAATGTGAGTAGATCAATAGGTCTTCTTCTTCGGCGATCCCTCATAGTCCGAGGATGATGGTCCTCCAAGTGTAGTATCCTGGCGGGAGCCCCCGGTGGTGCAGTGGGTTAAACCCCTGTGCCGGCAGGACAGGTCACAGGTTCAAATCCGGGGAGAGGCGGATGAGCTCCCTTTATCAGCTCCAGCTCCTCATACGGGGACATGAGAGAAGCCTCCCACAAGGATGATAAAAAACATCAAATCTTCTGGGTGTCCCCTGAGCAACGTCCTTGCAGACTGCCAATTCTCTCACACCAGAAGCGACTTGCAGTTTCTCAAGTCACTCCTGACACGACAAAAAAAAAATTGCTGAGTAAACATATTTAATAGTTTAATAGTTTATTCGATGCTTAGACCATAGGTCTTTCACATACAAGTCAAGGCAAACAAATAAATACATGAACACCAGATTATCAAATACAATATAAAATACACCATAAAATCCTATAAATCATTAAAATGCTACATACATCGATAGCAAGATGCACCTTTAAAATACTACATAATGTGTAGACTCATACCTGCGTAATTAAAAACCAAGTAAAAGCAAATAGATACAGCATTATTAAAACTACATAAACAGCCACTATCGCTTCTCGGCCTTTTGGCTAAGATCAAGTGTAGTACCTATTCTTGATCTGCATCTTCTCCCACAGTGAGGGCATCGGTTTCCAGGTGGAAGGCTGTCCCGGTCGGGGTTGGCTTGATGTGCCTTCCTCTTGGCACATTTCTCTCTTTCACCCTCCATTCGTGCCTCTTCAAATTCTGCAGCACTGCTGGTCACAGCTGACCTCCAGCTGGAGCGCTCAAGGGCCAGGGCTTCCCAGTTCTCAGTGTCTATGTCAGAGTTTTTAAGGTTGGCTTTGAGCCCGTCTTTAAATCTCTTTTCCTGTCCACCAACATTCCGTTTTCCGTTCTTGGAATAGAGCAACTGCTTTGGGAGACAACATGGCCAGTCCAGCAGAGTTGATGGCAGAGGACCATTGCTTCAGTGCTGGTGGTCTTTGCTTCTTCCAGCACGCTGACATTTGTCCGCTTGTCTTCCCAAGAGATTTGCAGGATTTTCTGGAGGCAGCACTGATGGAATTGTTCCAGGAGTTGCATGTGACGTCTGTAGACAGTCCACGTCTCGCAGGCGTATAGCAGGGTTGGGAGGACAATAGCTTTATAAACAAGCACCTTGGTATCCCTACGGATGTCCTGGTCCTCAAACACTCTCTGCTTCATTCAGAAAAATGCTGCACTAGCAGAGCTCAGGCGGTGTTGAATTTCAGTGTCAATGTTGACTTTGTGGAGAGGTGGCTGCCAAGGTAGCAGAAATGGTCAACATTTTCTAATGTTACACCATTAAGCTGTATTTCTGGCATTGGAGAGGGATTGGCTGGTGACTGCTGGGAGAGTACTTTGGTTTTCTCGATGTTTAATGACAGGCCAAGCTTCTCATATGCTTCTGCAAAGGTGTTTAGAGTGGCTTGTAGGTCTTCTTCTGAATGCACATAGACGACATTGTCACAGCTTCGGTGGGAAGGTAATGGCACTCCATGCAGTCATGCCAGCCACATTACCTTAGAGGCACCAAACCCCAAAATCGGACACAACTAGACTTAATGTCAGGGGAATACCTTTACCTTTACCTTAAAGTAGAATCATAATGTAGACTGAAAGGGCCCATGCATTCTATACTCACAACATTACAATGGACCATCTAATGAACCAGGAAATCCCAATTGGATGGCCCCCCACGAGGATCTTCCTTCAGGGGCAAACCAAGAATGGGCAACTTGGAAGTCCCTGAACAGGCTCAGAAGTGGAGTAGGCAGATCAAAAGACATCCTGGCAAAATGGCACTACCTAAAAGAATTCCACACCTTGTGTAGCTGTGGAGTAGAACAGACAACTCTGTATCCGTATGCTTGTCCACTATGCCCTGCCTCATGTACAGAGGAGGAATTGTTGGAGGCTACAGACAATGCCATTGCTGTTGCCTGTTTTTCATCAAATATATTTAGCCGCCTGCACTCCTTTTATTTTTATCAGTTTTAGACTAATGTATGCAATGCTTTTGAAATAAAATAAAATCTAATGAGCTACTCTGCATTGACATTTTCATTGAACATACAGTGTTCCCTCACTTATCATGGGTGTTACATTCCAGGACTACCCGCAATAAGTGAAAATCCATGAAGTAGGGAGGTTGTATTTATTTTAATATTATTTTAATATTTATACATTATTCAAGTAGTTATACATTTTTAAAGTCCTTATAAACTTAAAATAAACCCTGTTTCCGTTTTACCGAGTACTCCTTTTCCTCCTCCTCCTCCCCCCCGGCTCCCCCCACCTGCCACACTGTCAGTGTGGTGGCTGAAAAGGAAGGAAGGAAATGAAGCAAGCCCTCCTCACCTTTCTCTTCTCTGGGTGAAGAGAGAGAGAGAGCGAAGGAAAGGAAGGAAAGGCTCTTCAAAGCTGGAGGGAGGGAGGACTGAGGAGGCGGCAAAAAAAGCGGCAGCGGCAAAAACCCGCAAAACAGCAAAAATACCACGATATATTTTAAATTAATATTTATTGAAAAACCACAAAACAGCGAGTCCACTAAAAGCGAACCACGAAGTAGCAAGGAAACACTGCAGTTCTCTGATCAAAGTGTGGTAATTGGAGAGGGATGGCAACCAAGATCCAGAAGAAGGAGAACAGAAAGGTCAAGGAGAGAGTTTGGCTATGTTTCAAGGCCTCTTTTGGTATGTTTTCTCTATCACAGAATGCAACTACTGAAGCCCAGACCTTGAACCTTTATGAGAACAACTGGCCGGTGCAGGAAATGAACAATCCCTGTCTCCTTCCTCCTGGGAGTTTTCCAGTCCCATCTGCAGAGATGGATCCAGGGGAGCTGGCTCAAGCTCGGGCCCAGATCCAGAATGTGGAGCTGACCCGGCTGCTGCAGCAGGATGAGGATGGAGATATGTGAGTACACAGGAAGGTTTGGATAGAAGGGTACGGGTTGATCTTCCTCAAAGCAGGGGATCATTTTTATGTGATTTTGTTGGTTGGAGTATTTATTTGTTTATTTATTTATTTACTGCATTTGTATACCACCTTTTAATAATAATAATAATAATAATAATAATAATAATAATAATAATGGAAACCTACTAGGTAAACTTGGGAGTAACGGCCTCTCAACTTTGCTTGTCTCACAGGGTTGATTCAACTCCCAACAATCCCTTTTTGTCTTGAAATCCCTTTAGAGAATGAACACTAAAACTTTCAGGGAGGAATTCTGGGAAATGTAGTTTGGGAAGGCAAGGATCCTGTGCCAGAGAATTCAAAAGGTCCTGCCCTAAACTACATTTCCCAGAATTCTGCTCGCCTCCTGCGTTAAAGCTTCAATGTAAATATGGTTTCTGCCTGTCTTTCCCTGGGCCATGTGCCAGAGAGGCTCCTTCCTTGCCCAGCCATCCAGCCAGGCATCCTACCCATCCCAGAGCCCCCCTTGCCACCCCATTTGGGGTAGAGCACGGCTTTTCCCTTCACTCCAGTCTCACCATCTCATCCTCAGGGTCCTTTGCAGGAGCCACTGTAACGGTCTGGATGAGGGCGAACAAATTGAAATTGAATCCAGACAAGACAGAGGTACTCCTGGTCAGTCGTAAGGCCGAACAGGGCATAGGGTTACAGCCTGTGTTGGATGGGGTCGCACTCCCCCTGAAGACGCAGGTTCGCAGCTTGGGTGTGATCTTGGACTCATCGCTGAGCCTGGAACCTCAGGTCTCAGCGGTGACCAGGGGAGCATTTGCACAGTCGAAGCTTGTGCGCCAGCTGCGCCCGTACCTTGGGAAGTCTGACTTGGCCACGATGGTCCACGCTCTGGTTACAACCCGCTTAGACTACTGCAACGCTCTCTACGTGGGGTTGCCTTTGAAAACTGCTCGGAAGCTTCAAATGGTCCAGCGCTCGGCAGCCAGGTTGCTAACAGGAGCGACACTCAGGGAGCATACAACTCCTCTGTTGCGCCAACTCCACTGGCTGCCAGTTTGCTACCGGGCACAATTCAAAGTGCTGGCGTTAGCCTATAAAGCCCTAAATGGTTCTGGCCCTACTTACCTCTCCGAACGCATCTCCTCCTATGAACCGACCAGGACACTAAGATCGTCTGGGGAGGCCCTGCTCTCGGTCCCGCCTGCATCACAGGCACGCCTGGCGGGGACGAGAGACAGGGCCTTCTCAGTGGTGGCCCCTTGGCTGTGGAATGCCCTACCTGCAGACATCCGATCGGCCCCCTCGCTGTTGGTGTTTCGGAGGAAGGTGAAGACCTGGCTATTCGAACAAGCGATTGACTAAACAGTGAAATTGAACATAGGAATACGGAACAATGGATAATGAGAGTGGATTCAGATTTTATTGTTGAGGCGTTATGATTGTTATACTGTTGTTAATTGTTGATGTTATAATCTGTTTTAATTGCATTATCTGTTTTGTGGTATTCTGCATTGTTGTGTAAACCGCTTTGAGTCGCTGAGAAAAGCAGTATAGAAATAAAGTAAATAAATAATAAATAAGTATCTGGTACATACAAGATATTAAAATGCGGAAGGACCTGGGCAGCAGGAGGAGTTGACATCAGATGATGAATACTAAAAAGGTCTTGAGTGCCATTCCCCAAAGGTAGTTTTTAAACATCCTGTGTTTCCCATTTGCTATCTTCAGGCTCCTTCACCTGCTTGTTGCCCAAGGATTCCGCCCACTGGCCTATGCTGCTGCTGAGATGCTCAGAGACTGTGGACAACTGGATGTCAAAGAGCACAGGGGGAAGGTAAGGGTGTGGCCTACCAGAACCTCTTTCTTTTACTGTGGGCATCTCTCACTGTTCTTGCCCGTCAGAAGTACACTTCCCCTCTAAATTGGGGTATGTCTTATATCAGTGTTTCTCAATCTTCCTAATGCTGTGACCCCTTAATACAGTTCCTCATGTTGTGGTGACCCCCAACTATAACATTATTTTCATTGCTATTTCATAACTGTAATTTTGCTATTGTTATGGATTGTAATGTACTGGGTTTGGTGGGCATTGACCTTGAGTTTTGGAGTTGTAGTTCACCTACATCCAGAGAGCACTGTGGACTCAAACAATGATGGATCTGGACCAAACTTAGCATGAATACTCAATATGCCCAAATGTCAACACTGGTGGAGTTTTGGGAGTTTGCGCGTATCAGGTATTTGTGCCAAATTTGGTCCAGTGAATGAAAATAGATCCTGCATATCAGTTTACATTATGATTCATAAGAGTAGCAAAATCACAGTTATAAATTAGCAACGAAAATAATGTTATGGTTGAAAGTCACCACAACATGAGGAACTGTATTAAGGGGTCACAGCAGTAGGAAGGTTGAGAACCACTGTATTAACATATGCTGCCTTGGAATGTGTTGGAAAGTCTTTCTTTGGATGGACATCTCTCAAGGAGGCAGAATGGGGTTGGACTGGAGGGGACCCATTAAAGGACTCTGTTTTCTCCTCTGCTTCCTGGTGAATTGAGTGCAAATTATTGTTGCACTTTTGAGTTCAGTTTGCAGAAACTGAAATAAGTTGAGGACAAAAATAGAAAGTAGGAGAAAGAGAGAACAACTGGGACATTTTAAAAGTAACTGGAAAATGGGAGAGCAGAGAATTAATTGGAACTATCCTTGCCAAATGTGGACAGTTAGCAGTTTTGGGATGATCTTGACCATCAATATCATATGACCTAATAGCGTGTGACAACTATGATGCTATCCTAGAACGGTTGCCTCATATTGGCTACTTGGTAAAATGTGCCCAGTCATTCATTGCTTTCTTTCTTTGGGTCTAGACCCCACTGCTAGTGGCAGCAGCAGCAAATCAGGCAGAGATTGTGAAAGACCTGATCATGCTGGGAGCCGACGCCAATGCTGTCGACCAGAAGGGCCAGACTGTGCTGCACCTTGGCGCCACATACGGGCTGCCTAGTGTCATTGAGGTGAGTTTGGCTGTGCCTCTCTGTGTTGGGAAAACTGCCCACAGAACTGGGTTGCCATTGACAGTCGCACGTTTCCATTATGCTTTTTATTGCATCATTTCCTGTATTTTAATGCCAGACCAGAACACAGAGATTAAGCAGCCAGTGTTTTCCTTTCTTCGTGGTTTGCAACTTTGCATTGGCTGAATTTATGTAGATCAAGCCCATCTTTGGGTATTTATTGAAGCCTATCACAATGGTTTTGACCAGGTCCTAAACGTTTCTGTGTGTGTGTCAAGAGCAACTTGAGAAGCGGCAAGTCGCTTCTGGTGTGAGAGAATTGGCCGTCTGCAAGGGCATTGCCCAGGGAATGCCTAGAAGTTTTACCATCTTGTGGGAGGCTTCTCTCATGTCCCGGCATGAGAAGCTGGAGCTGGCAGATGGGAGCTCACCCCACTCCCCGGATTCGAACTGCCGACATTTCGGTCAGCAGTCCTGCTGGCACAAGGGTTTAACACATTGCACCACTGGGGGCTTCAGCTAAAAAAAGACTGGCCTGTTACACCATTTCCAACTCCTGCCATCCACACTTTTTACCATGTTGTTAGTGCCCACATAATAATAATAATAATAATAATAATAATAATAATAATAATAATAATAACTTTATTTATACCCCGCTTCATCTCCCCCAGGGGGACTTGGTGTGGGTTACATGAGGCCACACCCATCAATACAGTAAACACAATATAACACAAAAGCATAACAAAACCAAAAACATAAAATACATAAAATACAAAACCAATATAATAAGCAACACAGCAAAATCAAATCAAAACATTAAAAACACAGAGGATTAGACAGGGCGGGGCCAAATTCAATGATAAAATTTTAAAACACAGGGAGACAGGACAATATAAATTATCGGGGAGGAGGATCCAGGGATGAGGAAGGGTTTAATTGCATGGACCATAAAATAAAGTGCTTCTGAGGCCATTTTATGCAAAGTTTGGTCAGGGAGTATTTTACATTCAATCATTGAAGGCACATTGGAATAACCAGGTTTTCAGGTTCTTCCTGAAGATTGCCAGCGTGGGGGCTTGCCTAATATTCCAGAGTCGGGGGGCCACCACTATTATTGATAGTTTTGCAAAAAAAGTATCAAAGGATATAAAATAACATTGATTCTTGTGTGGAATTTCCCTGTTTTTTTGTTTTGTTTTTTGTGTGTTGCTCTTTTTCCCACCCTGGACATTCTACAAATTTAAAAATGTCACTTGCCTAGTTTCCAACTCACCTCACAACCTCTGCCTGCCATATATGTGGGAAAAACATCAGGAGAGAATGCTTCTGGAACATGGCCATACAGGCCAGAAAACTCACAGCAATCCAGTGATTCCGGCCATGAAAGCCTTTGACAACATATTGCTTAGTAGTTTGGAATTCTTTGTGTATGCTCCTGACGGTGACTGTGCTGTCGAACGCTGGGCCTGAAAAAATGTCTGTTTACAGGACTTGCCTTCTGTATGCCCAACGGGACGCCAGGGTGCCTCAGCTGAAGGGCCCCTTAGATTTTCCAACACAAAGTTCTATTGAGGCTCAAAATAAGTTCAACAAAGTTCTTTATTTGGGCTTAAATCTTCAAACAAATGAATTAAACACTTTATAACCTTGAGGAAGCTACTTGGAAAACCAGTAGCTTCCTCAATCTGCCAACAAGGGCAGGCAACTGGTGGTAAACTGTTCCTTCCTTCCTTAGGGAAATCTTCTGACCCCTCTTTGGGCAATCTTTCTTCACCTTGCTGGAGTGAGGCCACTACTCCCGGCACCAAGCTACTTTATGGATAGCCCAAGTGGTCCCTTACTAGACAAGGTTTCTGTAGATCTGCCAAGCTGAAAGGTGTCCTTTAGTTTTACTCCACGAAAGGCTGTAGGAACTGTCCTGTTGCCCCAGCAAAGGCTGGCTGTATTCACCCAGCAAAAGCTGTGGAACTATTCCTTTACTCCCCCAGCAGAGCTGTGGAACTATTCCTTTACTCCCCCAGCAGAGCTGTGAGTAGTGAAGCCTTTGTGCATGTGGGATAGAGAAACCCACACGTCCTGCTGTTAGGCTCCAAACAGTGAGACTGAACAAAGTCCTCCTTTGTCTCCAAAACCCTGGGGAAAGGGGCGGGTCTAAAGACTCTAACGATGATTGCCAGGTTGCTGGCCCTATGGCTGCAATCTGGGGAAGCTACCTGATTGCAAAATGCATGGCTTAAATAAATTCATACAAACTAGCAGTGTAAGAAAAAGAAATTCAAATCTCCTGGCACTGCCGTGCCAGCACAGTGACTATCTCCCAGGGTGCTTCCTCAATGATATTGCCATCATCATTTTCTTTGGCAGTTTCTTCCTGTTAATTCTGTATTGTTCAGGAAGTCCCCATGTCCTTAAGAGTGTCAATATGATGCTGAAGTGTTCTGACCTTCTCTTCCAAGAGTCACCAGTTTGTATGTGCTGCAAGTGTAGTTAAAAGGGTTTTCTGCCAGGAAGACAAACATGGCACACATTGCAGCAGATGAGTACAGCTATTTCTGCTTCCATGCTTGCAGTTATTACCTCCCCCCCCCCTTTTTTTTTTTTGGACTGTAGCAACTTCTTTGAATATAGCTGTGCATGCCACAAGGCACAAGCTGTTTGCTCAAAAATTTGCTTCCTCGTCTAGTTCATGCTCATTTCTATTCATGGCAACATCAGTGAAGGCTACTGGGAAATCCTTGTTTCAGTTGAACACCTGTCTCTAACACAATGGTGGGGAATCTTTTCCTCTTTTGGCCCCTGGCCCCACATTCCAGATTGGGAAGAGATCTGAAAGGCACATTTCAGCAACACTAACATTGATAATCATAAGAGAGTTGAAAGAGACTCCATGGGCCATCTGATCCAACTCTTTATCCCACCAGGCAGGAAAGGCACCATCAAAGCACTCCCAAAAGATGGCCATCCTGCCCCCATAACATCAATATTAAATAATAATCGATTGCAAGAGACCTCAAGGACCATCCAATTCAACCCCCTTTATTCTGCCATGCAGGAAAAGCACAATCAAAGCACCCCAAACAGATGGCCATCCTGCCCCCATAACATTAATATTAATAGTAAATAATAATCGATTGCAAGAGACCTCAAGGACCATCCAATCCAACCCCCTTTATTCTGCCATGCAGGAAAAGCACAATCAAAGCACCCCAAACAGATGGCCATCCAGCCTACATAATAATAACAGGCACAACCCCAGGAGCCATCTAGTCCAACCCCCTCTGCCTTCGTGCTGATTGGGAAGAGAACTGGAAGGCACATTGCAGCAATACTAACATTGATAATCGTAAGAGAGTTGGAAGGGACTCTATGGGCCATCTAGTCCGACTCTTTATTCCACCAGGCAGGAAAGGTACCATCAAACTACTCCCAACAGATGGCCATCCTGCCTCCATAACATTAATATTAATAGTAAATAATAACAGAATTGCAAGAGACCTCAAAGACCATCCAGTCCAAACCCCCTTTATTCTGCCATGCAGGAAAAGCACAATCAAAGCACCCCAAACAGATGGCCATCCAGTCTACATAATAATAACAGGCACCACCCCAGAAGCCATCTAGTTCAACCCCCTTCTGCATTCATGCAGATTGGGAAGAGAACTGGAAGGCATATCTTCCCAAATTCCAGATTGGGAAGAGAACTGGAAGGCATATTTCAGCAATACTAACATTGATAATCGTAAGACAGTTGGACGAGACTCCGTGGGCCATCTAATCCAACTCTTTATTCCACCAGGCAGGAAAGGCATCATCAAAGCACCACCAACAGATGGCCATCCTGCCTCCATAACATGAATAGTAAAAAGCACAATCAAAGCCCCTCCAACAGATGGACATCCAGCCTCCATAATACTAATGATAATAGTAATGAATAGATTTGGAAGAGACCCCATGGGCCATCCAGCCCAACCCCCTTTATTCTGCCTGGCAGGGAAAGCACCATCAAATCCCACCCAACAGATGTCCACCAGCATCAATAATCCTAATGATGATGATATTAATAAGAGTAACCCCTTATGCTATGCAGGAAAAGCACTATAATAATAACAGAATTGGAGCAAGATACTCCACTTAGGCAGAAAAAAAATAAATGCAAAGATATAGAATGGGGAACTCCTGGCTAGACAGCAGTACGTGTGAAAAAGATCTTTGAGTCCTCGTGGACAAGAAGTTAGACATGAGCCAACATTGTGATGCTACAGCTAAAAAAGCCAATAGGATATTGGCATGCATCAATAGGAGTATAGTGTCGAGATCCAGGGAAGTCATGCTACCCCTCTATTCTGCCTTGGTCAGACCACACCTGGAATACTGTGTGCAATTCTGGGCACCACAATTGAAGGGAGATGTTGACAAGCTGGAATGTGTCCAGAGGAGGGTGACTAAAATGATCAAGAGTCTGGAGAACAAGCCCTATGAGGAGTGGCTTAAAGAGCTGGGCATGTTTAGCCTAAAGAAGAGAAGGCTAAGAGGAGACATGATGAGGGCCGTGTATAAATATGTGATGGGAAGTCATAGGGAGGAGGGAGCAAGCTTGTTTTCTACTACCCCGGAGACTAGGACATGGAGCAATGGCTTTAAACTACAGGAAAGGAGATTCCATCTGAACATTAGGAAGAATTTTCTGATCATGAAAGCTGTTCAACAGTGGAACTCTTTACCCCAAAGTGTGGTGGAAGCTTCTTCTATGGAGGCTTTTAAACAGAGGCTGGATGGCCATCTCTTGGGGGTGCTTTGAATGCGACTCTCCTGCTTCTTGGGAGGAGGTTGGACTGGATGGCCCACAAAGTCTCTTCCAACTCTATGATTCTGTGATTCTAAGAGACAACAGCATTAGGCAGAGACTTAAAGAAATTGAGCTGCCAATGAGACTGCTGTTCCATAAAACAGTATTTTGTCTCTGATCACTGATTGGAAGTGCCAGCAGAAGAATCCTGGAAGCTAGATGAGAACCCACATGGGCCTCATCCAGATCACAGGATAGAAGTTTCCTATCTTTCATTGAATATGGCAATGTGTTTTTATCTGTATTGGAGAATTCCCTTTGGAAGCACATGTCAAGATCATTATTTTTTTATTCCAATCTTTCCCAGGCTGTCATGATGACTGGCATCCCTGTGAACGTGGAAGCAAGAAATTTTGAAGGTAAGGTAACAATAGAGTTGTATCTTCCCAGAAATGGTTTTGACCGGAGCATGCACTGAGGGAGGCAAGCACTGAACTATAGAACTGGGAAGGATTAGCATTGAGGCTTATTCATTAATAATTAAGAAATTCAGTTGCGTTTGTCTTCGTGAAGTTTGCAAAATTAATTCATTAGATTAATCATTAATAACACGTAGTTAAAATTATTCATTCCTTTAGATCTGAATAACATGTTAATTTCCATTTTAAAAAATTGACTGAAATGATAAACAACAGCTCTTCCAAATGATCCCCTAAAAACAACAAACCTAAATTGTTATTTATTTACTAGCTAAACCCGGCCACACTTTGCTGTGGCTCAGTCTGATATGAAATGAATGTGAAAGTAAATAAAACTATTGTTGCGAACGTAGATTCACCGAGGAAACACATCCTTCAATTCAATACCCTGCCTTGTGTTGCTGTGTCTATGTGGAAGGGAAGGGAAGGGAAGGGAAGGGAAGGGAAGGGAAGGGAAGGGAAGGGAAGGGAAGGGAAGGGAAGGGAAGGGAAGGGAAGGGAAGGGAAGGGAAGGGAAGGGAAGGGAAGGGAAGGAAAGGAAAGGAAAGGAAAGGAAAGGAAAGGAAAGGAAAGGAAAGGAAAGGAAGGCTTTTTTTTATCAGAAATAATTTTTTATTGTAAAGCTATTGGATTGACTATATTTTTGGTTTGTCCGTTTCTGCATAAACATAAAGATCAGATGGTTTACTGACTTTGGAGCATGTGAGAAGCAATTGTTTTCTAAATTCAAACCACACACTTGCGAAGATTGCCCCTGCGCTTTATGGATAGTCATAGCGAATGCAAGGCGTATTGGAAATTGAAGTTGCTGAGAAAAGCTTTGTTTGTTTTTCAATCTTTGGTAATATAACTTAGGAAATCTATACCGCTATTTATTAGAAAAACACCAGTCTGGAAGGTCATGGGGCATCTGTGCCAAATCTGGTCCAGGCACATCATTTGTTGGAGTCATAGTGGTGAAAGTACTGTGTATATACCATCATTCATGATCCATCTTCCGCCGAAGCACACCAGGACCTGAGCTGCACCATTGGGGGTCTGTGTAGCAAGTTTGGTCCAGATCCACCATGCATGGGGGTCGCAGTGGTCTCTGGAAGTGAGAGAAGGTATTGCCTTTGCCAGGGAAAGCTGAAAGTCTTTCTGCCTGTCCTTCTATTTCTTTTTGGAAACAGACGGCAAATCTTCCCACCAAAAGCCCTCCTCCACTGTGATTGGCCGGCCTCTCAGCTGGCCTCTCAGCCAAGGGGAGGGCTATTTCTGAGGCTCCAAGTGAGGAGGGGAGAGCATGCGTGCTCGGCGCATGACAGCGTGGTGCGCATGTGCGGAAAAGGGAGAGTGAGGGAGGCTGTAAGGAGGGTCGCTCCAGCAAGTCCCCTCAAGGCATGGGGGTGCTATAGATGTATGATAGCCATGTATAAATATGTGAGAGGAAGCCACAGGGAGGAGGGAGCAAGCTTGTTTTCTGCTTCCCTTGGAGACTAGGACGCAATGGAACAATGGCTTCAAACTACAAGAAAGGAGATTCCATCTGAACACAAGGAAGAACTTCCTGACTGTGAGAGCCGTTCAGCAGTGGAACTCTCTGCCCCGGAGTGTGGTGGAGGCTCCTTCTTTGGAAGCTTTTAAACAGAGGCTGGATGGCCATCTGTCAGGGGTATTTGAATGCAATATTCCTGCTTCTTGGCAGGGGGTTGGACTGGATGGCCCATGAGGTCTCTTCCAACTCTTTGATTCTATGATTCTAGGTGAACTATAAATCCCAGCAAATACAACTCCCAAATGTCAAGGTCTATTTTCCCCAAAGTCCACCAGTGTTCACATTTGGGCATATTAACTATTCATGCCAAGTTTGGTCCACATCCGTCACTGTTTGAGTCCACAGTTCTATGGGGATATAGGTGAAATACAACTCCAAAACTCAAGGTCAATGCCCACCAAACCCTTCCACTATTTTCAGTTGATCATGGGAGTTCTGTGTACCAAGTTTGGTTCAATTCCATCCTTGGTGGAGTTCAGGATGCTCTTTGATTGTAGGTGAACTATAAATCCCAGCAACTACAACTCCCAAATGACAAAATCACCCCCCCAAACCCCACCAGTATTCAAATTTGGGCATATCAGGTATTTGTGCCAATTTTGGTTCAGTGAATGAAATGTACATCCTGCATATCAGATTTACATTGCGATTCATAACAGTAGCAACATTTCAGCTAGCTTATAAAGTCTATCAGCAGGCGTAGGTTTAAGACATCCTGTGATTATTCTACATGTTTCACAAACCTATCACAAAGCTATCTACATTTCATATTCTGTTAATTGATATAACTTTTCCTACTCCTGCAACAGGTCTCACACCACTGCACTGTGCTGTCATCGCTCACAATGCAGCCTTCCAGGCACAAACCATGGAGCAATTGTCCCAGAACCACTTGCAGAACTTGCTGCTTTGCATCCGTCTGCTCTTGCAACTTGGGGCAGACTACAAGAGCCAGGTAGGCTAGTGGGCTAGGGCATGATTTTCTCTCTTCCTGCATCAGGCATGCACATGGGCAAACTTTGGCTCTCCAGGTGTTTTGAACTTCAACTCCCATAATTCCTAACAGCCTCAGGAAAGGAAAGGGCCTGAGGCTGTTAGGAATTGTGGGAGTTGAATTTCAAAACACCTGGAGGGCCCAAGTTTACTCATGCTTGGCTTAGGGCAGAGCTTTCCAAACATTTCATGTTGTTGTCACACTTTTTAGACATGCATCATATGAGTAATTTGGTTTTAAAGCTAACCAAAGGTTAAACCAACCTCTCATAAGAGATAAAGACACAGATAGAAATTGTAATAACACATTTAGGGATACAACGGATCTCATATAAACATGCCATTTATATGTATATTTAATAGATGATTTGTAAGATAATAGCATACATTTCCAACGTTTTTGTCATTTATGAGTCACAATATGTAAATATATGCAAGAAGTTTAAAACAATTATCTCACACCAATAAAATAACTTACCATTTTAATTAGATGTGTGAGAGTGATGGGATGAACACAGCTTTTGAATATTTGGGAGAATATTAGATACATGCTCTCTGAGTAATTCGGCATTTTTAAGCTCGCCTCCAAGTTTCAGTGGTATTGTTTATTTCACACAGACTCAGAGGTTTCTCGTTACAGTTGAGCAACATACTTACTCACTACAACCAATACAATAACACACAGCATTATGAACAATTCATATTATTGTCATAGTTTTTAGACATTTTGCAAAACAGTTAATCAGTTTAGCTAGCAAACCAGAGGTTAAACCAACCCCACATAAGAGATATGAACACATGCATAAATGGTAAGAATGAAATTTCTAAAAGGTAAAGGTACAGGTTTCCCCTGACATTAAGTCGAGTCATGTCCGAATCTGGGGAAAGGTGCTCATCTCCATTTCTAAGCCGAAGAGTCAGCATTGTCCACAGACACCTCCAAGGTCATGTGGCCAGCATGACTCCATAGAGTGCCGTTACCTTACCCCCGAAGTGAAGCCCCCGGTGGCGCAGTGTGTTAAACCCCTGTGCCGGCAGAACTGAAGACCGACAGGTCGCAGGTTCGAATCCGGGGAGAGGTGGATGAGCTCCCTCTATCAGCTCCAGCTCCTCATGCGGGGACATGAGAGAAGCCTCCCACAAGGATGATAAAAACATCAAATCATCCGGGCGTCCCCTGGGCAACGTCCTTGCAGACGACCAATTCTCTCACACTAGAAGCGACTTGCAGTTTCTCAAGTTACTCCTGACACATCAAAAAAAAAAACCCGAAGTGGTACCTATTGATCTACTCACATTTGCATGTTTTTGAACTGCCAAGTTAGTAGAAGCTGAGACTAACAGCAAGAGGTCACCCCGTTCCCTGGATTCGAACCACCAGCCTTTCAGTCTGCAAGTTCAGCAGCTCAGCAGTTTAACCTGCTGCACCACCTGAGGGCACTGGTGAAATATATGGGGCACACACAATATCTCTTGATAATATTTTTTATATTTTTAAACATATAAGATTTATTGCTTATTTCACATAGACTCAGAGGTTTCTTGTTATGTTCGCATGACACACACTGCGGCTAACACAATAACGTACCACGAAACACAGTTTGGAAAAGTCTAGCTCTGAGAAAGGCTATAGTAAAGGTAAAGGTTTCCCCTTGACATTGTCTAGCCATATCTGACTCTGAGGGATGGTGCTCATCCCCATTTCTAAGTCGAAGAGCCAGTGTTGTCCATAGACACCTCCATAGTCATGTGGCCAGCATGACTGTATGGAGTGCCATTACTTTCCCGCTATGGTCTGCCTAAATCTTTTTCTTTTTCCTATCCCTTTTTATAGGATCTGAAGAGCAGCAAAACCCTCCTGCATTTGGCTGTCCAAGCAGCAAACCTGCCTGTGATCCAATTCCTTCTCCAGCTTCCTGGACCAGAACTCCAGCGTTTTGTCAACATGAAAGTAGGTGTCTAGATTTCTTCCGCCAGGGGGAGTTGTCACCCACATTTGGAGAAAGAGAGAGAGAGAGAGAGAAATATGGTGATGAGGACGACTTGCTCTTCTTGGTGTCTGCAGCATGAAATACAGAACCACTGGATGGGAGTGGTTGCTTAGCGCTGCACATGAGAAAGCCACTTCTCCCTTTTCAAAAGCTGTTCTTTGATCAGCTACAGAAAAGAAAACTTAGCAGCAGCCTGAAAGTAACAAAAAGAAGGAACCAGACCAGGCATGGGAGTGAGTTTCTACATGCGGCACATTCTCTAAGAGCAATAGCATAGGGCTGGAATAGGTGGCTTTCTACATGAGGAAGACCGTTCATTCATCATATCCTTCAGCTGCATTATATGGTCAGTGTAGACCCATTGAACTGCATCATATGGTTCTACACTGACTATCAAACTGCATTATTTGGCAGTGTAGATTAGCCTATTTCAAACATGTGCTCACTAGGTTGCTGTGAATTTCCCATACTGTATGGCCTTGTTCCAGAAGCATTCTCTCCTGACGTTTTGCCCACATCTATGCCAGACATCCTCAGAGGTTGTGAGGTCTGTTGGAAACTAGACAAGTGAGATTTATATATCTGTGGAATGTCCAGAGTGGGAGAAAGAACCCTTGTCTGCTTGAGGCAAGACTGAATAGTGTCGTTGGTCAGCTTGATTAGCATTTAATAGCCTTGCAGCTTCAAAGCCTAGATGCTTCCTGCCTGGGATTATCCTTTGTTGGAAGGTGTTAGCTGGCCCTGATTGTTTCCTGTCTGGAATTCCCCTGTGAGGTCTCTTGAAAAACAGGCAAGTGAGATTTATATATCTGTGGAATATCCAGAGTGGGAGAAAGAACTCTTGTCTGCTTGAGGCAAGTGTGAATGTTGCAATTGCCCAGCTTGATTAGCATTGAATAGCCTTGCAGCTTCAAAGCCTGGCTGCTTTCTGCCTGAGGGAATCCTTTGTTGGGAGGTGTTAGCTGGCCCTGATTGTTTCCTGTCTGGAATTCCCCTGTGAGGTCTGTTGGAAACCAGGCAAGTGAGATTTATATATCTGTGGAATGTCCAGAGTGGGAGAAAGAACCCTTGTCTGCTTGAGGCAAGACTGAATAGTGTCGTTGGCCAGCTTGATTATCATTTAATAGCCTTGCAGCTTCAAAGCCTAGATGCTTCCTGCCTGGGATTATCCTTTGTTGAAAGGTGTTAGCTGGCCCTGATTGTTTCCTGTCTGGAATTCCCTTGTGAGGTCTGTTGGAAACTAGGCAAGTGAGGTTTTGCACATTGAACTCAGTTTGCAACATCTGATGTAAGCTGAGAACAAAGGAGGAAAGTGGGAGGAGGGCAGAGAGAGAGGACATCAACCCCTTTTTTTGTCGTGTCAGGAGCAAGTCGCTTCTGGTGTGAGAGAATTGGCCGTCTGCAAGGACGTTGCCCAGGGGACGCCTGGATGATTTGGTGTTTTTATCATCCTTGTGGGATTGAGCTACAATCAGGGGTTCTGAGCTGCGAGGAATAAAGGGCTTTTATTTTGTGCTGATCAGTGTGTGAAATCTCTACCTGCAGGCGCATGGGAATACCGCTCTGCACATGGCTGCCGGTCTGCATGGGCATCCCTATCAAGAGGAGATTGTTCGCCTGTTACTACACCACTGGGCTGATCCCAGTGCCCGGAATCTGGAGAATGAGCAACCAGTTCACCTGTTGGCTCCTGGACCAGTGGCAGAACAGGTAAACTCAGAATAGAATGAAATGGTGGAACTGTTGCTTGGGTTTGGACTTAGCCATGCTGGCTAGGGTGGGTTTGGGAGTTTTGTAACTTTACCTACTGCAGTGGTTCTCAACCTGTGGGTCCCCAGATATTTTGGCCTTCAACTCCCAGAAAACTTAACAGCTGGTAAACTGGCTGGGATTTCTGGGAGTTGTAGGCCAAAACACATGGGGACCCACAGGTTGAGAAGCACTGACCAAGATTGAGAAGCACTGACCAAGATTGTCTGACCATCAGTGCTTACCAATGGTTGTCTCATCTTCTCTCCAGCTTCGCCTGCTTCTAAGGAGCCGTCGGGCATGTCCTGGTCCACCTCATCTCCCCAATCTTTCTTGATGGCTTTCTTTCCATGAACGCATCTGATCAGAGATAAGCAGGACTCCTCTCCTACTATCCAGCGTGTTGTGAAACTTGGATATATCCCTCTTTGAGTGTTGGGTTTGTTTGTTTGTTTGTTAATGGAATTGATTCCTTATGCCAGCTATATTTAAGTAAGTTATTGGAACCAGGGCCATGTGCCCAACTGCTTCCTTGCTGATGTTGATTTGATTCCCAATGGGAAGTTGTAGTGGGTGCCTACTTCTCTCCCAGGGTGGAGACAGTATCCATTGCTTCAGTAAGGCAATAGTTCAAAATCTGAGAATGATTTTTTTAAATCCCTTCAGAGATCAGCATGCTCCCGGTGGCATTATCTATATCATTTCTATGAAATGAATTTTGACTTGAACCATATTGGTTCATTGACTCTTTGGATTGCATAGCATGGGACCAGTCTCATCAGAGGAACAACATAGGCAAAACCCAACAACAATTCTGTGCATGTTTACCCAGGCAAGAAAGCCCTGTTGGGTGCAATGGGGCTTCCTCCCAGGTAAGCAGATACAGAATTGCTGCCTGAATTCCTCTTTGGGCTGTGCCCATCATAATCCACCATTTGCTGCTAGACACAGATCCTAAGAGGGTTCTTCTACCACCTAAAAGAACTACAGGGAGAAGGAAACTTTCATAAGGTATGACAAAGTGGCTCTCAACCTGTGGGTCCCCAGCTGTTTTGTCCTACAACTCTCAGAAATCCCAGCCAGTTTACCAGATGTTAGGATTTCTGGGAGTTGAAGGCCAAAACATCTGGGGGTCCACAGGTTGAGAACCACTGCTCTGTAGGGTAATATTTCCTCTCCATCCCTCTCTTAAAAGTGTAGCCTTCCTACAAGCTTTAAATGGTGTAATAGACATTTCCACTTCCTAAAGCAGTGTTTCTCAACCTGAGGGTCACCAGGGGGTATCAGAGGGGTCACCAAAGACCATCAGAAACCACAGTATTTTCTGTTGGTCATGGGAGCTCTGTGTGGGAAGTTTAGCCCAATTCTATCATTGGTGGGGTTCAGAATGCTCTTTGATTGTAGGTGAACTATAAATCCCAGCAACTACAACTCTCAAATGTCAAGGCCTATTTTCCCCAAATCCATATTTGGGCATATTGAGTATTCATGCCAAGTTTGGTCCAGATCCATCATTGTTTGAGTCCACAGTGCTCTCTGGATGTAGGTGAACTAAAACTCCAAAATTCAAGGTCAATGGGTCAATGCCCACCAAACCTTTCCAGTATTTTCTGTTGGTCATGGGAGTTCTGTAGGCCAAGTTCAGTTCCATTCCATTGTTGGTGGAGTTCATAATGCTCATTGATTGTAAGTTAACTATAAATCCCAACAACTGCCACTCCCAAATGACAAAACAGACCCCACACCCAACTCCACCAGTATTCAAATTTGGGTGTATTGGGTATGTGTGCAAAATCCCACAATATCTGCTTTGGACTGGGTTATCTGAGTCCCTACAACTCCCAAATGTCATGTCTATTTCCCCCAAACTCTACCAGTATTCACATTTGGGCATATTGAGCATTTGTGCCAAGTTTGGTCCAGTTCCATCATTGTTTGAGTCCACAGTGCTCTTTGGATGTAGGTGTACTACAATTCCCAAACTCAAGGTCAATGCCCACCAAACCCTTCCAGTATTTCCTGTTGATCATGGGAGTTCTGTATGCCAAGTTTGGTTCAATTCCATCGTTGGTGGAGTTCATAATGCTCTTTGTTTATAGGTGAACTAGAAATCCCAGCATCTCCAAATTCCAAATGACAAAATTAAACACCGGTATTCAAATTTGGGTGTATTGGGTATTTGTGCTAAATTTGGTCCAATGAATGGAAATACATCCTGTATATCAGATATTTACAACACAGTTCATAACAGTAGCAAAATGATAGTTATGAAGTAGCAATGAAAATAATGTTATGGTTGGGGGTCACCATAACATGAGGAACTGTAGTAAGGGGTCGCAGCATTAGGGAGGTTGAGAAACACTGTCCTAAAGGAATCCAGGGAATGTAGAATCTGTGAGTGCTGCTAGGACCTCTAGCAGAAGTCTCAGTGTCCACACCAAACAAGAAATCCCAGGGTCATTTAGTTGGAGAAAACACACCATAATTGGAAAGTTGTCCTTTAAAAGTAGAAGAGCCTTCTTAAAAGATGTATCTAGCAGTGTGATAAAGTCTGCCTAAAATAATGTGAGGCAAATATGCACAGTTTTAGTGCTGTCCTTGTAATGCTTGGAACCAGGGCTTCAAACAAGATGAGGTCTTTAGCATTCTAAGCTGCAGGGATAATAATAAACACGGCGTGTTTTTGTTGTTCACCAGGCTTTGGCCTGCATTACACCCTCTCACAGCATCTGTGCCCAGAAACTTGTAGCCAGATCCCTGGCTGAATTCAGAGCCCTGTGTGGCTCTCTGGCTCAGTGCCCAGGAGTCTTCCGCACCACTTTCTCATGCGGCACATTGACTCTATGTAGCCACAAAGTGGGAAAGCAATCCTCTTTCCTTTTTTCTGTGTATCACCAAAACATGGGATGCTACTTTGTAAAAGCAATTGGCTGCCGCTTGACATCCCAACAGAGTAGTTGCTGATTTTTGTGCCGGCAGGATTGCTGACTGATAGGTCAGTGATTTGAATCCGGGGAGAGCGGGTTGAGCTTCCTCTATCAGCTCCAGCTCCCTATGCGGGGATATGAGAGAAACCTCCCACAAGGATGGTAAAAATATCAAACATCCAGCCATTCCCTGGGCAATGTCCTTGCAGACGGCCTATTTTCTCACACCAGAAGCAATTTGCAGTTTCTCAAGTTGCTCCTGACATGAAAAAAAAATCATATATATATAAATCAAAAAGTAAACAAATGTGTAACTTTTTCATACCTCCAACTGCCCTGATCTGGAAGAGATAATCACAATTAATCTAATGTCGCCCAACTTTTTCAGATGCTTGTCGAGCATTCCCATTTCTTTCTCCTCCTGCTGCTTTCCCCTCTTGTCCTCAACTTACCTCCTTTGGTGAAAAGTGCAGAAGTTGGTTATATTCAATTAGCAGAGCAAGAGAGGCTGCAAAATCCCTTCCCAACAGATACAGGCAAAAGCAAACCACTGCAGTCTCTCTGTTTGTATGTTCTCCCTGATTAATAGTTTTTGCTATCTTGACCACGCTCTGATGTTATTTGGCCATGTGCGTTTTGTTTTCTCTGAAAAATTGGAAATGGTCAGTGATACTAAACACAGCCAAATTGTGGACTCTTGGAAAGTTACTTCCTAAAAGTAATTCTTGTTATATATTTTTAGCATACCAGAAAACCTTGGCAGCTGTTCATTATGTTTTTAACTCCTTTTGTCATTCACTCCATTGCTTGTTGTTATTGTTTTAAAAAACATAGAACTAATAAGAAAATGGCAAAAAATTGGAAAATACTTGTTACAATACCTGTAAGAATGCATTCCAGAAACTAGAAAGTCTTGCTCATTAAAGTGATGAATTCAGTTTGTATCCACCGAACTGGTTATTGACCATAATAAAAGTGAACTTGAACTTATTTATTTATTTATTTCAAACATTTGTACCCCGTCCTTCTCAACCCTCGAGGGGGGACTCGGAGCGGCTTACAATCGGCAACAATTCAATGCCAACACAAAGCAAAACACAATACAACACAACATTTAACAATAGGTAAAACATTAAGTTAAAAATCCCTTTAAAACATTATTTTCAACCATTTAGCCATATCCGAGTCCAATTCAGCATCCCAAGACCCAAGACCCTGTCCATAGTCAGATTCTTAAACACTACAATTGCTGCCAAACCTACTACCCGAATGCCTGGTCCCAAAACCATGACTTAAGCTTCTTCCTAAAGGAGAGGAGGAATAGAGCTGACCTAACCTCACTGGGGAGCGTGTTCCACTGGTGGGGGGCCACCACCAAGAAGGCACTGTCTCTTGTCCCAGCCAAAGGTGTTTGCGAAGAAAGCAGGATAAAGAGCAGGGCCTCCCTGGATGATCTTAGGCTCTGAGGCGGGACGTAGAGGGAGGTACGTTCAGACAAGTAAGCAGGGCTGGAACCATATAGGACTTTATAGGCCAAGACCAGCACTTTGGAATTGTGCTCGGAAGTGGACCAGCAGCCAATGGAGCTGACGAAACAGGGAGGTTGTTCCCGCCATTTGAGTTTGTTCCCACCTTCCCCACCTCCTTTGAAATAACCTTCAAATATTTCTCATTACAGTATTGAAATTCCCTCCAATAATGGTTATTATTATTATTATTATTATTATTATTATTATTATTCCACCCTATCTCCTCGAGGGGAGTCAGGGTGGATTCCGCCAATCACAAACATGAAGACAAACATTCAATGCCTTAAAAACAGCCATAAACACAAACACAGTAACAACCCACCCGAATCCCAAAGTAAATCAACATTTAACCGCGAATTGTAACATAAAACTAAAATTACATAATCAAATTGCATTATATCTAACCTAAAAACATGAACCTCGATTTCAGAAACACTAAAGGTTCAATTAAGAAAGTTTAAATGTAATTATGTTGCCGTGATGTCAAGCTCCATCCTGTAACAATTAAAACGATTTGAACTGTTACAACTAACATACAAATGGCATAGTCCCTTGTTACATTGTAAATTACATAGTTAAGCTTTTGTTACTGCATATGGAATTAGTTACAAATGCGTCCTTATCTGTAACACTGTGTTTCCAGACTCTTCTACCTATCACCATGCTCTTGCTACCTCACCTTGAAATAGAGCAATTTAGAGCGGTCGTGGATAGTGAGATCCAGGCTGTTTGGCCACTGTGGGCTGTGCCTGGCAAGAAGAAGAAGCCAATATTCCAGAATAAATCTCACCAATGTGATGTCGAATGCTTTCATGGCCGGAATCATTGGGTTGTTGTGGGTTTTCCATTTTACATCAAAGGAACCACTGACCACATAGGGAAGCTAATGAAGAAACACAACTTACAGACCCACTAAGGAAATCCAACAAATGCTACATTCAGCAAAGGACAAGAAGGAACCTCTCACCTCTGCAGGAGTCTACCGTATACCATGCAGCTGTGTACAAGTTTACAAAGGGACCACCAAATGCAGAATTGCCCAAACACGAATCAAGAAACATGAAAGGCACTGCAGACTAATTCAACCTGAGCACCTGATGAACCAACCTGGACATTTGAGAATGCCAAAATACTGGATCACTCTAACAACCACCATGTCAGATTACACCGAGAAGCCATTGAAATCCACAAGCATGTGGACAATTTCAACAGAAAGGAGGAAACCATGAAAATGAACAAAATCTGGCTACCAGTATGCAAAAAACTCTAAAGCCAGGACACTTAAACACTTAAAACTTAAAAAACGGGAATTCCAGGCAAGAATCAATCAGGGCCAGTGAACAGCTAAAAACAAAGGATCCCCCAGGCAGGAAGCAGCCAGGCTTTGAAGCTGCAAAGCTATTCAATGCTAACCAAGGTGGCCAATTGCAACATTCATACCTGCTTCAAACAGACCAGAGTTCTTTCTCCCACTCTGGACATTCCACAGATATATGGAATTTTCCAACAGACCTCACAACCTCTGAGGATGCCTGCCATAGATGTGGGTGAAATGTCAGGAGAGAATACTTCTGAAACATGGCCATACAGCCCAGAAAACTCACAACAACCCAGTGATTCTGGCCAAAACAATGCTGTTTTACCCATCAATCTCTAATCCAGTTCCTCCTGCCCAAATACCGATTAAGAGTTGGCTGTTTTGGTTCTCTTCTATTCCCACCTCAATTTTCCAGGCCCAAGTCTCTTTTTAAACCAGCAAGGAGAAAGGAAGAATTTGGCAGGTGCATCTACTTCTCTCATACAGTGCTATATACATGCTATCTAAATTAATGCATCCAAATAGTGAAAAGCAGATGAATCCGCTTCTTCCCTCTTTCTCTTTCTTTTTCTCCTTTCCTGTAGTGTGAAGCAATTGTTCCATGTCCTTGTTTTCCACTGCCCTGAGGACTAGGACACGGGACAATGGCTTCAAACTACAGGAAAGAAGATTCCATCTGAACATTAGGAAGAACTTCCTGATTGTAAGAGCTGTCAGCAGTGGAATTCTCCACCTTGGAGTGCAGTGGAGGCTCCTTCTTTGGAGGCTTTTAAGCAGAGACTGGATGGCCATCTCTCAGGGGTGCTTTGAATGTGAATTTCCTGGCAGGGGGTTGGAATGGATGGCCCACGAAGTCTCTTCCAACTCTATGATTCTATGGAGTCTGGCAGCTTTTTGCATGCAGTCTTCTGTGTTTAGTTAGAAACGTAATCTCAGGTCTCATCTGTGCTGCCATATAATGCAGGTTCATAATGCAGTTTAACTGCATTGAACTGCACTATATTTATTTTATTTATTTTACAACATTTATATGCCACCCTTCTCACCCTGAAGAGGACTCAGAGCAGCTTACAAGATATATATACATACAATATATTATATTATTAGCATAGTAAAATACCAGTATTATATATTTCTATATTGTACTATACCATTATATTGTAATATTATTAGTAATATTACATGTTATATAAAATATATAATTATAATATTGTATTATTAGTATTATGCTGAGGAAAGTGGAAGGTAAAAGGAAGAGGGGCCAACCAAGGGCAAGATGGATGGATGGCATCCTTGAAGTGACTGGACTGACCTTGAAGGAGCTGGGGGTGGTGACGGCCGACAGGGAGCTCTGGCGTGGGCTTGTCCATGAGGTCATGAAGAGTCGGAGACGACTGAATGAATGAACAACATTATTAGTATTAGTATTATATTACATTACAATATTATACAGAAGACAAGATGGAACTGTCTTCTGCCCCCCCCCCTCTGGTCCAGAGCAGTAGTTGGCGTGGGGGGTGGCGGGGGGGCAGGCTACACTGCCACATAATGCAGTTCAATGCAGTTAAACTGCATTATATGGCAGTGGAAATAGGACCTCAGAGCATGTGCTAAATAGAACCTACAAACAATGGAAAGAGGAAACACGGGCTTATAGTGAAGCATATGTTATTGGAGCGGAAGTGAGCTAATTGTGGCAATAAAGAAGCACATGTTATAAGCCCTTCATCTGCCTCAGTGTTACCTACCTAGCACAAAACCTGTGATGCAACCAACCACAGCCTGTCTTTGATCTCTTTCCCTCCAATGCTTCCTGCTATTGCATCTTTGGCACCACAATTTCAGCATACTGACAAAAGGAAACAAAGACACAAAGTACAAAGCGGTGTATAATCACGGGTTACTTTATAGAAGACAACCAAATCCTGATGGATCAGACAAGCAGATTGTTGCTCTGCTTAGACCAGTTCCCCTTGCTGCTCAAATGGCAGCTCCTCTTGCGGGAGCAGGTAATTCGCCACCGGATCATAGATCTGTATGACTTTTGCATAGTCAGCCGGCAATCCTCCAATCTGTTGGTAGGGGCTCTGGACACAAGGAACAAAAAGGGCAGTTAGTCTTTCTGCCATTTTCTAATCATTTTATTTATTTATTTATTTCGTATCAAAAGCATTGCATAAATTAGTATAAAACCGATAAAAATAGGAGGAGCGCAGGTGGCTAAATATCGTTTGACCAAAAACGGGCAACAGCAACGGGATTATCTGTAGCCTCCAACAATTCTTCCTCTGTACATGAGGCAAGGCATAGTGGACAAACATACAGATGCGGAGTTGTCTGTTCTGCTCCACAGTCACATAAGGTGTGGGATTCTTTTAGGTAGTGCCATTTTGTCAGGTTGTCTTATGTTCTGCCCACTCCACTTCTGAGTCTGTTCAGGGACTTCCAAGTTGCCCATTCTTGGTTTGTCCCTGGAGGAAGACCGTCATGGGGGGCCATCCAGTTGGGATTTCCTGGTTTAGCCACCCAGAGGGATACTCTTGCTGTTGCTGGGGGATGCCAAAAAGAGTGGTAGTTCTCATAAAGCGTTTCCTTGATTTGAGTCTACTGGGAGGAGGCTGGTAGCCATGTAGTGGGTGGCTTTCACAGTGTTCAACCTTATGTCTCCCACATTTAGCAGCAACTTCCCATTGCACATCAGGGGGGCAATGCCAGCTAGCTTGTAGAGTTTATCAACAGGTATAGGTTTAAGACATCCTGTGATTATTCTGCATGTTTCATTCAATGCTATGTTCACCTGCTTTGCATGGGAGACCCTCAGGCCCGTAGCCAGGATTTCGTTTCGGGGGGGGGGGCTGAATTTTTTCAGGGGGGGTTTGGGGGGGGGCTGAGTTTTGGGGGGGGGCTGAGTCTGAGTGAAAGAGGGTCTAGCCTAGCAAACAAAATAAACATAACAAAAAAGAAAAACTTTTAATGTAATTCAATTACCAGCACAATACCAAAAAAAAATACCCTAGCAAACCTTTTGTATCGTTACCCCAATACCCCCATGCATATGGGATATATTGGGAAGGGTGATCAGATCATGATATGAATAAACATAACAGTTTAAATAATGCACCAGTAAGGCCTTTTTCGCGAACCACCATGAGAATTTCGGGGGGGGGGGGGGGGGTTGAAGCCCCTATAGCCCCCCCCCCCCCCCCCCGGCTACATGCCTGGGCAGACTTATGCCAAACAGAAACAGAGCAGGCATACTCGGCAGTTGAGTAAGACAAGGCCAGGGCTGATGTTCTTACTAATTTTGGATCTGCACCCCATGTGCTGCCAGTAAGTTTCCGCAGGATGTTATTGTGTGCAGCTACTTTGTGCTTAGTGTTCAAGCAGTGTGTCCTATATGCTAGTGTTCAATCTAAGGTGACACCAAAATATTTAGGTTGGAAACAAGCTCTTGACCTTCCCAGGTGACTTTGAATTTCCTGTTGGCTTCATAGGAGCTGATCCATGGAAGACAAATATATCCATGGCTCACAACCACAGCAAATACACAAAGCAAGCTACAGCTTGTGGGAGAGGTTTATTTAGACAGCAGTTCCCATAATCCCTCAGCCAGCATGGCCAGGAGGATTTTGGCTGTTACTGTCTTTTTAAATAACTTGTCACGATTCTCTTTCTGAACACTATCATCAGTTCGGGCCAAACAACACGAGACAATTGACTCAGTGGCTCCATCAGAACAGAACTTTGGGGCAGAGGTTCCGTGCCCTACTTAGCAGAGCAAGCAGCAGAGCCCCCGGAGACAGAAATAATACACATTATCATTTAAAGAGCAGGGAGGGCATAAGACCATTAAATTTAGAGTCTAAAATTATCACACTGCACTACAGGATTGCCTTCGTGACCTGCTTCTGGGTTGGTAAAAAGGAGAGCTGGATAAGGCAGACCATTCTATTACACATACCCAGATTGCTCTCGTGGTGTTGGGAAACATAAATTTCAAGCCCTGGTGCTTGAAATGTCTTGTCTGTCAGTTAGCCAAAGATATTTCACTACCTGGGATAAAGGACCAGGTGCCATTCCCCTTCCTTCCCTTGCCTATATGCATGCTAGCTAGATCAGCAAGTGAACCTTTGATAATAGAAATAGAATGAGATCCTCCATCATGCCTGAAGAAAGCAGGCAAGTTTAGGACCACAGGGCCCAATCTACACTGCCATTATAATGCAAATTGAACAAGGGGTCCTCAAACTTTTAAAGCAGAGAGCCAGTGCAGGGTTCCATAGACTGCTGGGGGACCAGACTATAGTTTTTTAAAAAACTTAAAGTCCTATGTACACTGCATATATCTTATTTGCAGTGCAAAAGAAAATCCACAAAGGAACAATACAATATTAAAATGAAGAACAATTTGAACCAACATAAACTTACCAGTATTTCAGTGGGAAGTGTGGGCCTGCTTCTGGCTGATGAGAAAGTCAAGCTAATTACGATTGTTGTTGTTGTATGCCTTCAAGTCGTTTCAGACTTAGGGTGACCCTATGTCTAAAGTTTAGAGCGGAGGCTGGGCCAATGACTTTGGAGGGCTATTTCAGGCCTTAGTTTGGGGACCCCTGGTCTAGATTCATATTATCCAGTTCAGTGCAGTTCAATCAGCATTATATGAGTCTACACCAGTGGTTGAGCTGGGAGACCTAAAATAATGTCCGTAGGTGGGCTGGGAGACCTAAAATACTGTCTGCGATCAGGGATACATGCCACCGTTGGAGGAGAGCGAGCGAGAGAAGGACAGGGAAAAAAAGGAAGGAGGCGAGTGCCGTTGCCCTCACCCTCTCGTGGCTTCCCTGGCACCCTTGGAGGAGAGAAAGACACACACACACGAGAATCCCCCAAAGTCGTTAGCTCCCATTGCCACACATCAGTTGTAATGAAGATCACAGGAGCTGTCTTCATAGACTTGTCAGCAGCCTATGATACTGTGAACTGTCGCGGCAGATTTGCTACCCGGGATCATGTAGAGCACAATCAGGCAGGAAGGAGACGGAGACTGCAAATTTGATTCCAGGCATATTTACTATCATGATAGGACGCTCAGAAGCATGATCTGAAGCGTACTTGAAAATCAGTAAGGTTGCAATATTTATAGCAGAAATCCACTGGTCTTAGACATGCGTATAACTGTCTTGACATTTACACAGATATAAACATTAACAGAGGTATTTCGCATTACCTTTTCCCATACATCACAATGACATATTATATTGACGTACTTATAATTGTTTCAAATCTTAATTATTCCCATATTCGTAATATATCTGAAGTTACCTGCTATTTACCTCACTGAACCACCAGATGTTGCTCTGACCTTTTCCAGCCTCAGATCAATTATCTACACAAGCGTCCTTGTCTGGTTGCCAGAAACATTCCCTTGATGATAAACATCTCACTTTATTATTGTTTCCCAAATGTCATGTTCCCGTTAATATTTAACTTCCTTGATCTCTGAAGCCCTTACTTTCGTCTATGGAACATTTCGCTTCTCCCTGCCGCAAACACTCCTTCGCTAGTATTTCAAGGTAAGTTTTCCTATATTCATTTTTTAAATATATTTTTATAATCATTCTTTTCCGCTGACTGCTACATTCCCCCCTTTTTGCGAGCGGATGTTCCACAGTAGACTCGCAAACTCACGCAATTACATTTTTAGCAAAAAAATATTTAACACAATCATTTATCACAGTTATTGAAGAATGTTCCATACACGTTGGCATCTTCACAGTGCTCCTCATTCTTCTGTCTGATGTATTTAACCCGCGTTCAGATGTAGTCAAAACCAGAGCCGTAGTCCTCCTTCTGGCACTGCTGGTTTGATGATACAAAGTCTCAAAGGAATCCTTTTGGATCAAGAGTCACAGTCCCTTCGAGTGATGCTTTCCTTATTCTAGTATAATGTATCCAGTCTTTTATCTGCAAAGGGGCTATGACCAGCTCTTTTCCTCGTCCCTTTCGGGCTGCGGCCTTTGCTGTGGTGTCAGCATACCGGTTTCCATAGGTCACAGGATCCTCGTCACATTGATGTCCTCTGCAATGCATTACTGCTACTGATGCAGGAACTCAAACAGCATCTAATAATTTCAAAATGGTCTCACTATGTTGTATTTCTCCCAACAGAATTTAGTAGTCCCTTGTCCTTATATAATGCTCCACATGCATATAAGGTAGTGAATGTATATCTAGAATCTGTATACATGTTGACTATTTTTTCTTCTAATAACTCCAGAGCTCTAATGAGTGCTATCAGTTCTGCCCTCTGAGCTGGAGCATTTAGAGGAAGTGGTTCTATTTCCCACACAGTAGTTATAGTTATTATTGTATATCCAGCATATCTTTTTCCTTTTTCAACCAAACTACTTCCATCTGTAAAAAGAGTGGCATCTACCTCAGGCCATGGTTAATCTTTTATATCTGGTCTATTGGAATATATCTCATTCATAATTTCTAAACAATCATGTTGAAGCATTTCCCTTTCAACAGGCAGGAGTGAACCAGAATTTA